CTGGATCGGAGGGATAGAGCAGTCAGCGCTGGATCGGAGAGCCGCTGCACCGCTGGAGGGACAGATGAAAACATCAGGAAAGAAGAAGATCGGAATAAGAGACATAATTTAAGGTAAGTGCTGACATTAACATTGGGGGGGAGGGAATATTTTCTTTTTACTTTAATGTTGGCTGAGTTCTGCAAATGCTGTGATTCGAGTAGTGTGTGGTCCCGTCGACACACCCACCGAGTTTTGTCAAAGGAGCCTGTTCAGTCAGCTGCAGCCACTGTTCAGTCACTGCAGGAGCCACCTGTCAGAATACAGGTGGTGCCTGCAATGTAGAAGGAGGAATCTGTTAGTAGTGTATGGCCAGCTTTAAAGGAGAAAAGCTCTTCAGCTTACCATAATGCCTAAGTTTGTATCCCCCCACCCCCCAGTGCTCCCCAAACTGGAAGCCCCCCGACTAAACTTTATTCTTTTCATTTATACCCACCTTTTTCAAATGTCTTCATCCTTATCTGTTTCTATTCGCCCTTTCCACCCCACCCCGGAGCGGTCGGCTCTTCTTTCAGCACCATTACACTGCGAGTGTAGGGAGCCATGATGATGCCACCTAAGTTGGCATGTCAAGGACGCCTTGCACTTGCAGGATGCCCTCACTTGGGGGCGTATAAACAATCTGCCCAGCGTATAGCTGAGCGAATGCCGTATACATGCCATTCTGAAAGCCAAGGAGCGTAGGAAATTCTTATGCTCCTCTGCTGCATCCAGTGGCAGGAATGCCACACGTAGGGCATTCGCTTAGCTGTACAATAGGTGGAATTTTTATACATCAACCCCTGGGTGTCATTCAATTTGGAAGACTGAGGATATCTAATGATGGAAAGTAATTACTGGAGGGGACAGCATCGGATTGTGGCTTTGCTAACAATCAACACAGGGAGGGCACAGGAAGGTATTGGCTCACAAGGTTTTTGGCAGGATCAGCAGGTATTTATTGAACAGATATAACAAAACAAAGTAAAAGGTATATTTAACAGACCAAAAGGGAGCAAATAAGAAAGGTTAATTGTAGGGATTCCAAATACTTTTGAGCAGCACAGCTTGGTAGAGAACCGATCCAACCTGTGATTGGATGATTAATACACTAATAGGGTGAACCATGTGATCTGTATCAGCCATCTCCCTATATACTGTGCAATGTAGTGAGGCCTGATTGGTCAACAGAACCCTTTCCTCCCCAGTCTGAATCATGTTCTGCAGGAAACTATGGGAGACTAATATAAAAACAGACTGGGGTTCTTTTTACTAGTGTATCATACTTGATGTGACAAGACTGGCATCCTCCTGACTGGCCCAGCACTGTCACGTGGGGTCCATAGTCAAGTGTAAGCTCTGAGAAGTCGATTTGGAGCTTACACTTGGCTTAGTTTCCCCCCTTCCCGATGGCTGAATGGAGCAACAGAGAAGCAAGGAAAGGCAAGTCTATGCTGGCGGAGCCCAATAAACCTTTTACTTTGGCCTGCATGGGCAAAGAAAAATTTCCCTTTAAATGGAGATATTTTGTTTCTCCCTATAACTTTGCTTTGTATGTTTTGATAAAGTTCCAATCAGCGGAACTGATAGAAGAAGGGTTGGCTTTTGTGCCTTCTGATGAAAGCCTATGCTAACAAACATATAATGTTCTTTTCCTAAATCGAAAAAGGAAAAGATGTAAAAATAAGAGAAAGAAGAACTCTGGAGATCCGCTATGAAGGTTGATTTTGTGTTAATTTTAGAAGCGACACACAATAGTCACCACCAGTCTCTCTGTCTCCTTGGGCATATGTCTGACGCTGTACTGCATATGAAAAGAGCAGCAAACACGACTATGATCCAGAGACATGGCTTAATAAAACTTGCCTTTGTGTTTCGCGAATGATAGGCTCCTCTGCTTTCTTATTAATCCACCTGACAGTTTACCGTAAAGAACAATGTACCGACTGCAGAAATTGCAAACTGATGAGGAGCACAGATAGCACAGGCCTGTGCTTTTATGAATCGGATAATGAGGTTGTCCAGACAAGCAGTGTAAGACTATCGCTGCACAGAGCTAGGGCAAAGATCCTTTTATTTTATGGGTTTCATGACCAGAATCCAAAGAATAATACATTTTACATCATTCATTAATGAATGATGTAAAATGTATTCTGACAGCAAAGGAAGGATTCTGATTGGCTGCAAAGAGTAGAACAATCAGCATTAAAATCAGTAGTTCTCAGTGCAAAGATTTCGGTACATCTGGTAACAGGAAATTAAACTTTGAGTGCCAAGGCATTCAACACCCAATAAAGAAAGTGTGGGTTTTTACAGTTTACTGTTAGTGGCTGTCAGACTGGTGACCGCATGGAGATTATAATCTTCTAACTACAATTGTTCCCTGAGGAAGGGGAGCTGGAATCAAAGTGAACAAGTGCTAACATAATAACGACATACAATATGACCTATATCAGTTTTGGGGGAAGTTGACCTTTAAAGTGTATCTGAGCGTTAAAACTGATCTCTCCTGTCCAAAATGTGGCTTCCATCAAGGTTCCCTAATGCATCTTCTGTGGAGATGACTCAAACTGGTTAGATATTGGGACCAGGTATTGACAGTAATTAACTCTGTATTCAATAGCTCCATTGAAAATTGGTCTCAGGCCTGTCTTTTGGGACTGTTCAATAACTCAACCTTATCTCACCATACTAAAGTTGTCGTACACAGAGCACTTTTCACAGCTAGAAGGATTATTGTGAGAAAATGGATCTCTACCTCCTCTCCCCTGATTTAAGAATGGCTTGTTGAACTCAATATCCTTTGAACGTATAACGTATCAGCAAAGAGGGATGGATAACAAGTTTTCTTTACTATGCTTCCAATGGTTCATTTATCGTGCTTCCTGTTAGTTACGGTTAAATGTTGCATCCCTGTAACAGTGTGGTATACCTCCTTATTAGTGTGCAATACTACCATCTGACACCGCTCCTTACAATGATCTGGTGCTGCGGGTTATGTGGTGTCAACTACTCTTATGCAAATTTATCTTTATCTGAGGCTTACCTATGAGGCTTGGCCGTGGCCTTGTGTTCCAGGATGTGGACAACTGAACTATTACAGGCACATGGTTCCAGTGGTTTTGTGTTCTGGAATGTGGGCACTTGGTCTATTACATGCACATGATTCCAGTGGCTTTGTCTTCCGGGATGTGGACACTTGGTCTATTACTTGCACATGATTCCAGTGGCTTTGTGTTCCGGGATGTGGACAATTGGTCTATTACTTGCACATGATTCCAGTGGCTTTGTGTTCCGGGATGTGGACACTTGGTCTATTACATGCACATGATTCCAGTGGCTTTGTCTTCGTGGATGTGGACACTTGGTCTATTACATGCACATGATTCCAGTGGCTTTGTCTTCCGGGATGTGGACACTTGGTCTATTACATGCACATGATTACAGTGGTTTTGTGTTCCGGGATATAGACAATTGGTCTATTAAATGCACATGATTCCAGTGGCTCAGTGTTCCGAGATGTGGACAATTGGTCTATTACATGCACATGATTCCAGTGGCTTTGTGTTCCGGGATATAGACAATTGGTCTATTACATGCACATGATTCCAGTGGCTTTGTGTTCCGGGATATAGACAATTTGTCTATTACATGCACATGGTTCCAGTGGCTTTGTGTTCCGGGATATAGACAATTGGTCTATTACATGCACATGATTCCAGTGGCTTTGTGTTCTGGGATGTAGACAATTGGTCTATTACATGCACATGATTCCAGTGGCTTTGTGTTCTGGGATGTAGACAATTGGTCTATTACATGCACATGATTCCAGTGGCTTTGTGTTCTGGGATGTAGACGATTGGTCTATTACATGCACATGGTTCCAGTGGCTTTGTGTTCCGGGATATAGACAATTGGTCTATTACATGCACATGATTACAGTGGCTTTGTGTTCTGGGATGTAGACAATTGGTCTATTACATGCACATGATTCCAGTGGCTTTGTGTTCTGGGATGTAGACAATTGGTCTATTACATGCACATGATTCCAGTGGCTTTGTGTTCTGGGATGTAGACAATTGGTCTATTACATGCACATGATTCCAGTGGCTTTGTGTTCTGGGATGTAGACAATTGGTCTATTACATGCACATGGTTCCAGTGGCTTTGTGAGTAATATTTTAAACAACTTTATTTCTATATAATGTATTTTACGAAAACAAGGCGCTGTCCTTGTGTGTTCTTTTTCTGCTGTCTCATTGACCATACTGGAAATTAGAAGAATCTTCCCAACCCGGACACAGACTCTAATACAAACCTGACATAGATTCTCAGCGTTGCTCATTCTACAGAAATAATATAAAATATTTGGCTGGAGCTTCACTTCTACAGTATCCTGATGTCTAAGTGGGCCCGGTGACATTTTTTTTTTTAATTCTGTGTACAAAATGGATAGTAGGACAGCACTGGGAAAACGAAGTGCAGACCCTCAAGAGTAATTGTTTCCATTTACATGACTCAAGCTTATATAAATATTACCGGATAAGATCCGGCATATTCATTTCACGATTGAAACGCCAGCATAATACATGACTACTGCCTATAATGAACCGCACCGCTGCTTTATCACCAATTATGCTGACATTGATGGCATCCCCGCCAGGCCGCCAGTGTAAGGACTTGTCCAAAATATAATTTAGGACTTTCCTGGATGAAGTTGTTCCATTTGTATTTTTCTAAGATACGCCGTTGCTGTCATCTGTCTAGAAAATTACAAACAAGGAAAATAAACGTCCTTTTCATTGCGCATGTATTTTCCGATGCCGGGATGTGTGGTAGAGTCTGTATTGTGAGATTATAACAGTGCTATAAGCCAGAGCTGATGAGCTATCAGTCAATAGGTCGTGTGCTGACTTGAACCATTGCCTTGTCTGTCCTGTGCCCTCAGAAAATGTTTTTTCTCTCTCATATTTTTTATATAGGTTGCCTTGGCATCAGTGCCAAATACATCCTACATGCGCATGATACGTTGGGCCTCCTGGAACCATCTTTTAGGAGCTGGGGCAACAGAAGTGACTGTATCTCTTCAAGGTGGACCACCAGCAAATCCCAGTAACAATCTGGTATACAAGATTCCCCCAACCAACATGAGCTCAGACGAGGTGAACAATTATGCAAACAATTGTTTTGATGGTTTTGTACATAAGCATTGCTGGTATTCTACAACAGCTGATATTCTGTTTTATTAAAGAGAACCAAGACAGGAAAAGGCATTTGTAAAAATCTGATTCTCCATTCTTAAAGTGAACCTGTGCCTTGCCCATGCAGGCCAAAGCCACAGATACCTTTTTTTTGCCCCATTGGCTTCATATGCTTCGCTTTCCTGCTACATGGGTGACTGGTTCTCTTTAACTGCAGAGTCAATAATCAGCTGGATCCTAATAGATGAGGACATGAAAACTTTTAGCTAAAAAATAAATAAATGAATTTTTCTTAATGAGTAGGAGTGATTCATACGTGGAAATGAGATTTAAAGCATTGTATTGTTACTGTTTTATAAGAGAACTATGGCCAAACCTTTTTATGGCTTTAGTTCTCTTTTGGGTCACAGGAGGACATTTACGAATCCAATTTCAGCATATAGCAGACTCATGCTTACTGTATGCTGATAGCACAGAGCCGCACTACAGCCAGGAAAAATTCCGACAAAATTGTTGGAATCTACCCCACTGCCTGACTGAAAGCTGGTTATGTCTCTCTAGAGCAAGAGCCAACTGTGCCCCTCCCTCCCCTGTCTGTCCCTCCAATGAGCACAGGAGGAACAGAGAGGGGAAGGGTGAAGCCCTATGGGGAGCCATGACTGACAGGCACCACTCTCTGCAGGGAGAAGCCGTGAGCTGAGCGATCAGTGGTTTGTGATCGCTCACTTCTCAAGCTATAGGGCCGGCATGTGACAGCTGCAGTGTCAAACGCCGGCTCTGTGTATTGGGAAAAGTACATTTTACTTTCCCAACACTTGCCCTTTAAGCATACTGCTGTGCAGCTGTAAGTCTGTTGTGGGTTGTCTTTTCCTAACCTTTCTTTATGTCCAAACAGGTGCAGCAAGTGGAAGGTGGAACCTTGTTTTTTAACTTTAGCTTACGGTCTGAACGTCAGCTCGACGACAACGAATCCGTGGTCAGCCTGTCCCAAGAGCTTGTCCAGTCCAAGAAGAAAGTTACCCTGGGGAATGGTAAGTGGAATTTATTGCATCCCTACTTTTAAAGCTATTAAAGTATTTGTGCTTCTGTCCATCCATTTCTGAGATTTATGCAGCTCTGCCGCACATCGCATTTTGACCCAGAAGAGTTTACACTCTTAAATTAGAACTATGGTCTCCCATTTAAAACAAAAACGTGCTGCAGAACTTAATTAAAAAAGCATCTACACTGACAGATTCATCTTTGTTCCTCAGAAAAATTACACTGATCCTGCTAGTGAAGTCCACCTAATGTAACTTCCTGTGATGGGGTGGCAACAGTGCTGCACTGCTCCTAAATTCAGAGCACAGTTGTCACTCTCATGTAGGTTGTACCTGTTTGCACTACAATGGAATGAAAAAATATGTATCACTGCTGATTTACAGGCCTTTAGCTTGTCAATTATCACTTGGCCCATTGCTTTCTAAATTGGCTGCACTGCCTCTGTTGCTGAAATCCTCGCACTGTGAACTGCAGTGTCTGGGAGGAGGAGCATGAGAGACACATACAAAGGAGGATTTGGATCAGTCAGGGAAGGTAAAGGACGTTTTTTGTTTACTTTATGAGTCTTGTACATTGCTTTGTACTTGGATTTGGTACTTGTTAGACTTTGGAACTTTTAGTTGTTATTCAAGGTCACGCTGCGATCCTGGCTTGCTCTTAGACAACTCCCTTCAGCCTTGATCCCTCCCCGCTCTGGTGGTCTAAGGTCCTGTGTGTTATCATGTTCTATATATTGCTATTGTCCTATATGTATAGGACGTGAGGGCGCCGAAGGACATATTGCTGGAGCGGAAGAGGAGACAGGCTGCAGGTAGCAGTGTAGGAGCCTGACAGGATTGTGGTTCAATTTTGTTATTTTAGCTCCCTAGACAAAACAAGCACTTAAGCTTGCCGTGCTGGGGTAGCCCCACTGCAAGGGTTAAGATTTAATTTGCCCTGAGTTCTGCATTAAAGCCATATTCCACTTTTTAAAATGTTTTATAAATGCACCCTTGTTGCAGAAAAATTTGCATTTATTAATATGTTTGCTTTGGAGGCTCAAAGCATTGCAACCACGGTCAGTAAATAGTGAGTGCAATGCACAGGCTCCTGCATACTATTTCCTTAGCCACAGGGCCATTCCGAGAACTATAAGTCCCTCTGCCTCTGTATATTTCTGAATTCGGTGCATGCAGTGCATGGTTTCACCCACACAGCTGCACCATCCATTCACGGGATCTGTGAATAAATGACGTGGCTGTATGGCAGGGACGTGCGGTCAGAGGAGGCAGGTTACAAATCAGGGAAAGCCTCCCCGCTGTGTAACCTGTCATGGACGGGGCGCTGCCTGTTAATTACAGTCAGCGCTGCATCTGGCTTTTGACAGCTAAGTTAGGTTACACAGCAGCGGGCTTCCCCACTGCTTGTGTAACCTAACTTGGTGAGGTAAGAGCTGCCACAGCCTCTACTCTGTGTTAGATGCATGAGCTCTGTGGATGGTTTGGACCAATGGCAAAGCGCTATTGGTCCAAGCTGTCCAATCAAAAAAAGAAAGCAAAAAAAACCCACTGAGGCCATCAATCTTGATGTCTCAGCAGTGACGAGCAAGTGAGGGACAGGGAGGCTTCTCCCTGTCTCCTCCCTCCTCCACATATGTCACTGCTGTGAAATGGCACCATGTTACATGTTACACCCTAAATATGGTATGAAAAGTGGAATCATCCATTGGTGTTGTGTCTTACTGCTTTTTACCCATTTAAAAAGAGTTCACGAGACAGAGTTGAACCTCCCAAAATGAAACTGCAGCAACACTGAACATACAAAGAAAAGATTTTAGTTAAAGTGACATTAAACCCTCAGATTTTTTAACATAAACTAATACTGTAATGTGCGCCTTACTGTAATCCATGGTTCTTTCCCTTCTCTTTGCTGCTCTTCCTTTTAAATCCTCATGTCTTCTCATGCTTGGGGAGAACTTTTCTTTGCAGCTCAGGGCCTCTTCCTGTAGTGCTGGCTCAGGTTACAAACCTATACAAACCTATACACAGACACCATATATCCATACCTGAGACAAGGCAGTCTGCTGCAAAACAGAAGTTCTGCCCAGCATAAGAACAGATACAGATTTAAAAGGAATAGCAGCAAAGAGAAGGGAAAGAACCATGGATTACAGTAAGGCACAGATTACAGTATTGTTTTTATGTTAAAAAAATCTGAGGGTTTAATGTCACTTTAAGAATTAAAAAGAGTTCTTGGAAACAGATTTCTGATTTTTCACTATAGCACAAACTTGGTCCTATACCAATCTTTTCCTCCAGTATTTTCCATCCTCCAGACAGGAGTTAATGGAGAGAGTTTAGAAGTTTGATAGCGACATTATTGAACAGATGGCGCTCCTTCATTTTAGACTGACCCGTGGTTCCCGTGTGCATTTGTCTAATTGATATGTCATGTCAGCTGGTGTATAGACAATTTATTGCTCTTGTAGCTTTCTGGAAACTTGTGAAAGTCAAATGCTACCACAACTCATAAGAGCATCTTCACGGTATGATAGTTCTTTAAAGGATAAATATATGTTGGTTAGAAAAAAAATAAACTGCAAGCCTGCAAAAGGCTGCCTACGTGCTGCCAAACTATAAATATAAACGAGCCTCCGTTCTCAGCAGAAAATCTTCTTCCGAATTCCCTGCCGGTACAGGGCCTACGCAGGATTTATATCTACCGGTGCTCCTAATAGTGTCACAAGGTGGAGGGCCCTGTGTGAGGAAAGGGGTTGGGGTGAGGCTGTGAATAATGGCCTGACCTAAGATTCCAGGCACAAAAACTTTCATTTAAATATATTTATCAATAGCCATAAAGCATTTAAATCCACTTTGTGTGCATTAAATGCATTTGTGAATTGAGATTTTACCTCATAACTGTAGTGGTGACATTATCACTAGGTATGCAACGATACCAATACTAGTATCGGTGCAGTTACCGAGTATATGGGCGGGTACTCGTACTCGCCCAAATGCTCCCGAAACTTATCCCGATACCGGAACTTCTGGTATAAGGAAGCCAGCAGCGAGTCATTACATGCCGCTCAGCTTCCTGATTGGCCGGGAAGCCGGCTCCATGGTCCCTCATCACCTGGTGAGGAGAGAGCATGGAGCCGGCTTCCTGGCCAATCAGGAAGTCGGGCGGCGTGTAATAACTTGCCACCCGGCTTCCTGATTGGTCAGGAAACTTGCCAATCATGAAGCCGGCTCTATGCTTCCTCCTCACCCGGTGACAAGAGAGCTTGGAGCCAGCTTCCTTGCCATTCAGGAAGCCGGGCGGGGTGTTATGACTTGCCACCCGGCTTCCGGATTGCTTGCCAATCAGGAAGCCGGTTCCATGCTTCCTTGTCAACTGGTGACAAGGGAGAAGGGAGCCGACTACCCGACTAATCAGGAAGCCGGGTGGCCATCCCTTAATGGGACTTCTGGTATCAGTATTCGGGAACAGCTAAAACCCGGTATCGGTGCATCACTAATTATCACTGTGCTGTACAAAGCCTGTGCATAGAGCAGAGCTTTGGGAGGGCCCTAGCAGGCTCCACCCATTACAGATTGCCTGCAGAAAACTACAGGAAGGGGTGGAGACAATACCAGTCACCTTTCACAAGCAGCAGTGACCGGTCTTTATTACAGGAAGATCCAAGTTCCACACTGGATTACTTCACAGATCTGGAATAAATATACAAAGCTCATCAAATTCATGAAGAATACACATGGACAATACTTGCTTATCCCAGAGTTCAGCTTTAAATGCAAAATATACAGGAGAGAGGTTATTCTTAAATTAAAGCCAAATTGTTTTCTTCATTTTGGATAGAGTGAGGAAGTGTAAAAAATATGAAGTCTGTCTAAAGACTTTTTGCAGCTTGATGACTTTCTAGGTATACCAAAACGTTTTGATGCTCACCTAGTGGTCAGAGCACTCAATTTGTTAAACAGCTCAAGAATATTCTAGTTACAACACCCGAAGCATCTTTCAACCAGCCTAAGAAAAGAAAATAATTATATTACACCCCATAAGAAGAGTTCTAACCCTCGAGATGCGTAGTATTGTAGTATTTGTTCTGACTTGCCATTAATAAATAAGACTGATAATAAACATAAACATAAACAGAAATATCCCAAAATGAAGAAACAGTTTGATTCCCTTTTTAATTGGAGGTTTTGCCAATTTACAAAAGTGAACAATAATCGTTTTTGCTAGGGGTGTTGCTTGGATTGTCAAAGATCTTGGGCGTCCTGGAAAGGGAAAAGTTGGGTAGCAGGCAGCAGAAAAGTGTCCGTGGCCAACGGGATACGGTTAAAAAGAGCCGGCGTCTACGTGCTGTGTGTGTGCTGTACACTTATTGTGCAGTCCTTGTGTACACAAAGTAGGTGCCGCCACAGGTGAGAAACTCACAGACTTACATAAAGCTTAGGACAGAAATATTAGCAAGTGTCTTAATACAGGAGTAGTAAGAAGAGGTATCTTACTCACTGTCTATGGTACCTATAGCACACAAAGGGAATAGTAAAAATGAGTGCCTTATGCTCTCTCCATGGTACTGATGGCACCTGAAAGGAATATAAGGAAGCTGTTTAATATTCACAGTGCATGGTACAGAAGACTGGAACATTATGAATTTTCTTGTTTACTGTCCATGGTACTAATGGCACTGGACAGAGATAGTAAGAAAAGGTAGGATATGTACTCCCCATGGTGCTGATGGTAGTGGACAAAAATAGTAAGGAGAGACAGAATATGCACTGTGTATGGTGCTGATGGTAGTGGACAGTAATGGGAGAGCCAGAATATGCACTGTGTATGGTGCTGATGGTAGTGGACAGTAATGGGAGAGCCAGAATATGCACTGTGTATGGTGCTGATGGTAGTGGATAGTAATGGGAGAGCCAGAATATGCACTGTGTATGGTGCTGATGGTAGTGGACAGTAATGGGAGAGCCAGAATATGCACTGTGTATGGTGCTGA